TCATTCAGTCATATCATCCTTAAGCAACACCATCAAAGGGCAATATTTGTGTGTATTTGCATGCACACACATGTCCTATATGCATTTGCATATTTGTATATGTTAATATGGAGGCATGCACGTGTGTGCATGTGCACATACATGCATGCATACATAATAATTTATGGGTAATCTGGCTATTCCTCCTTTAGTCTACTTTGCTTTCTTAAAAATAAAAAAAAACAGCCTCAAGAGATCAGCACTCTGTGTCCATGTTCAGCCTCTGAATCAATTATTCAATTTTCACAGAGCATGTTATGAATGTTGACAACTTTATTGGATAGTGTCACATGGTCAGCGCAACAAATCCCCACGCCCAATAATTTTCGGTGTTCTAGACCATGGGCCACTATTTCCTTGAAATGGATCCTCAATTATCCTCACGAGGCTGAGTGGACCCCATTCCAGATCCACTCACTACTACTCAGAAAATCTGGTAGTGCCAGGAATCGAACCTGGACCTCTGGATCTGTAGGCAGGAACTCTGACCACTAGACCACCACTAACTTTACCAACAAGCAGTTTGACTGCGGACTGAAACCACGGTGTTTTTTTATGAATGTTAATTTGATAGCTAGTCAGACAGACAGAAAAATAGATGGATGTCATAAAAGTGTATTTGACATCCGATCTTTCAAGGAAGTGGACTGTAACACCAATCCCTATCTGACTGACTAAGGCTGCGCCATAGCTCAAGTGGTTAGTCGCTGGCTTCCCACCGTGGTGGCCCAGGTTTGATCCCGGGTCTGGTCAAGTGGGGTTTGTGGTGGACAAAGTGGCGCTGGGGCAGGTTTTCTCCGAGTACTTCGGTTTCCCCTGCCAATCTTCATTCCACCAATTGCTCCACAATCACCCTCACCTATCATCTGGGGCTGGTACAATATGACAGAAGTGGCCGCAGTACAAGCGACTTAGTCCTACCTCACTAGCAATAAAAAAATACTGACTATCAGTAAGGAAGGAAATAATGCAAGAATTTTATATGGAGAGGTTCACTCTCAGGATACTAAACAAGGTTGAGGGTAATGAACAGGGTCACAGCTTTGGAAAACTTATATGATGATATGGATATCAACAGAACTTGGGAAACTATTAAACAATCTTAAAATTCTAGCTGAAGAGAATCTACATTATAATGAACTGAGGTGCCTTAAGCCATGGTTTGATGAAGGATGTAAAAAACTGTCAGATCAAAGGAAACAAGCCAAATTCCAATGGTTACATGATCAAAGCCAAATAAAAGTGTGTAACATCTGAAGACATTTCTGGAAGAAAATGAGGGAATATGTGAGAGACAATATTAATCAGCATGCAATACACTGTAAGAACAAGACCATTAGAGACTTATACAGAGGAGTAAATCAGTTTATGAAGGGTTACCAAACTAGAACTAGCTTGGTAAAACAGAATGGTGATCTGCTTGCAGATTCCCACAACATATCTGTGACAGAAGGGCCTAGCACATGGAGAATAGTACATAATTTCATTAATTAATATCTAGATGTTTACTAACTGTAAAAAAAGAAATTAATTTCAAGAAACTTTTTACTTACGAGATCTAAAAGTTTGTAACAATGGTATATTATTACAAGTATTATGTTTTTGGACATTATCCATCATCTTGTCTATTTTTCAAAAAACCGTCCTGTTTCTTTTTCAAAACACAACATTTCAGAGACTGAACTCTGTTCCCGTCCTCAGGTATAACCTACTCAGTTGGGTCCCACAGATAGAGCTAGTCCCTTATCTCCCTGGACCCAAATGAGTGGGTTTTACCTGAGGATGGGTACAGAATCCAGTCTCCAAAACGTTGTGTTTTGAAAAAGAAACAGGGCAGTTTTTTAAAAAATAGACAAGACGATGGATAATGTCCAAAAACATAATACTTGTAAAACTTTTATTTCATAAAACATATTTTATGCATTTCTCAACCAAGAATAGCAATACAACGGGCATACCTATCATTTATAGTAACAGTCAAATTGCTACAACCGTTGATATTAAGTTCCTCAGTCCGATGAGTGGCAATACCCTATAATGGAACGGACATACTGACTGCCTCATGTCCAAACTGGGTTCAGCTTTCTATGCAGTTAGGGCTATTAAACCATGTACGTCATTAGAATCAATGAGATTGGTATCTTTTCCATATTTTCATTCTATTATGACATATGGCCTGATTTTCTGGGGTAATTCACCCCTCTGCATCCTTATCTTTAGACTATAAAAGAGGGTAATAAGGATCATCACCAATTCTAGAAGTAGAGATTCTTGTAGTTGTTTAACCCTTTGATGTGGTCATTTAAATTCCGCGGCCGCGGCTCCTGCGGTAATATATTCAGCCGGCCATTTAAATTTTGCTCGAAAATTATTTATTCATCATTGTTCTTAAATTCTATGAGATAGGAACATGAAACTTTCACTAAAATGATCTTAAATGGTGGTTTTATAACCTTACCTTATAATATGGGCGCCCTGTATCTCGGCCATGGAAGCAGGTTGTTTAGTATTTCAGCAGTGAATGGTACGCCTTGAAGGATGAAACTTTCACTAAAATGATCTTAAATGGTGGTTTTATAACCTTACCTTATAATATGGGCGCCCTGTATCTCGGCCATGGAAGCAGGTTGTTTAGTATTTCAGCAGTGAATGGTACGCCTTGAAGGATGAAACTTTCACTAAAATGATCTTAAATGGTGGTTTTATAACCTTACCTTATAATATGGGCGCCCTGTATCTCGGCCATGGAAGCAGGTTGTTTAGTATTTCAGCAGTGAATGGTACGCCTTGAAGGATGAAACTTTCACTAAAATGATCTTAAATGGTGGTTTTATAACCTTACCTTATAATATGGGCGCCCTGTATCTCGGCCATGGAAGCAGGTTGTTTAGTATTTCAGCAGTGAATGGTACGCCTTGAAGGATGAAACTTTCACTAAAATGATCTTAAATGGTGGTTTTATAACCTTACCTTATAATATGGGCGCCCTGTATCTCGGCCATGGAAGCAGGTTGTTTAGTATTTCAGCAGTGAATGGTACGCCTTGAAGGATGAAACTTTCACTAAAATGATCTTAAATGGTGGTTTTATAACCTTACCTTATAATATGGGCGCCCTGTATCTCGGCCATGGAAGCAGGTTGTTTAGTATTTCAGCAGTGAATGGTACGCCTTGAAGGATGAAACTTTCACTAAAATGATCTTAAATGGTGGTTTTATAACCTTACCTTATAATATGAGCGCCCTGTATCTCGGCAATGGAGGCAGTTGGTTTAGTAGAAGGAAGGCCTTGAAGCATTCGTATAACCCAACGGTGCCCCACGTTCACCATTCTCCGCTCCAATATTGTGTATTTTTTTTGGCCCTTTTTTTTAACCACACATATGTGCGGCCTTGCCTTCTTACCCGTGAGGGGTATACTTCAAGGAAATGTCTTTCCGTGACCCGTTTAGTTGCCAGGTCAGCTGTAGTAAATTCAACGTTACGAGTTATCATAACAAGGGGTTGTTGCTATGCCTTTGATATTCCATCCATTTTGGCGGCAGGAGATGTCGTAGGGGTGACCACAGAATTCATGAAGTTATTCTAAGAACTGTCTGGTATGTAGTGAACGAAAGTAGAGCTTAGCTGGCTCAAAAAAATATTTATGGTCATCCCTCGAAACGACCACCAAGGTCAGTACGATAAAATGGAGTCAACTGGAGCGATAATGAGCGAAGGAATGAGTTCTTTTCCCTCCCCCACACACATCCGTATCGTCTCAGGGGGTGACCACAGTGTTCTGCCTTAAAATGTGGCGTTTTTCTAAGAAATGGGTGCTATGTACTGTGCGAAAGCAATCGATTTTGCAGGCATAAACTTTTGTACATCCCTCTTCTAAGAATTCCAATTGAATAGCCAGCTCAGGGCAATATGATATTATAAACACCAGCACATATCAGTCTCTGGTGTTTATAGCTTCAGAGCAAACAAAACACATCATTCATAACAGAAACAGCTCGCAATAGCCACAGGAACGTTGCTGCAAGACAGGCATATGTAACGACGACTTAGCGCTCTTAAACGCGTGTGTCATTAAATACAGTCCTCCTGACAACAGGCCAGTGAAAAATCTAACAATCTACAGCAAAACCATCAATTATTATGGGCGTTATAACATACGTGTGCAGCTGGACGAAACATACACGTCGAACCCCCCCAGACGATTTAAATCCCTGACGAAACATACACGTCGAACCATGGCAACGGGTTAAGAGATTAAAGATTCTGCCTCTTTACTCATAGTACATTTTTTCAATTTTGTTATTTGTGGTCAAAAACAAAGATCTATTTTTATCTAATTCTGAGATTCATACAATCAACACAAGACATACGAGTAGTAATAACCTCCATTATCCCTCATGTAACTTAACTGTCTTTCAAAAGGGAACATTTTACTTTGGAATTAAAATTTTTAATAAACTTCCACCTAATATAAAAGACCAAGCTCATGAGATTAAAAAATTTAGGACTGCTGTTAAAAATTCCTATTTTTAAATTAATTTTATTCATTGGACGAATATTTTAACTGTGACAACAATTAAAGTTTCGGATTTGCTATGGGTGGTAGTTGATAGCGCCTTATTGTTATAGATGATGGTTTTTGTTCATGTTGTATATTGTTAATATTTTTAACTAGTATGATATTACACAACTGTGATGCAGTATGTGATGTTTACTCATGTTGACTAACGTTAAAAATTCCACAATACTAACAGTTACATAATACATTGAATCAAATCATGTCACCTAGAATAAGCCAATTCGACCACAAAAACAACACACAACATAAACATCAAGCATTCTTGTACAACTGACAGGTGGTAAAACACGTCTATTTGCGTAACTCGAATATTATAATACTTATAATTATTACACTAAAACTGTAATTTCATAGTATTAGAAACCTTACAGTTCACTTACAAAGTCTCCATCCAATCAGGAAGATCGCTGGGTACCTTCGTCAAACCTCGTTTACTACAGTCTACGAAAGCCCCAAGACAATAACACTCCACTGAGCAGTTACTGCTTTCTGTCCGTGTTCCAGCCATCAAAGTCGCCCATATCAGAACATCTATGGTAATACATAACAAAACAGTTTTTTTCGTTGTTATATCCTTATGTCCAATGTTTGATACAAACGGCTGCAAAGTGGGGTTTGCCATTTTAACCCACCGCTCCGTAACTCCCAAAATCAGTTCAAGTTTGTCCCGTCCATTTTTTCGACAACGCCTACATTATACAGTGCAGCACATATATTAATGTGCTAAATTTATGTACATTCGCCTACCGCAAACGAGTAAACTAAAATAATCACATCTCCGTTCCAAGCTGCCAATACGGATAATAACCTACGATATTAAACACTGAACGACAACCAACGGTACTAAATTCCACAGAGGAGAATAGTTCAACTCGAACTCCAAGCACGGATTAATGCCGGGCGCACACCAAGGAAACTAGCAACCGCAACGCAACCGCGATTTCCGAGAAATATCGCCGATTTCAAGCAGGCAACTGGTTTCCAAATTAGTAGGTGCACACTGAGGAAACTTACGTTCGATTAGTTGCTCACATCTCAAGTGGGTGTGTTTGCCCGCCAATTTCGTTCACTTCTCTTCTGCAATGTCATATAATATTGTTCCTACAACTCTTCATTGACCGTCACAACACAACAAACCGAAAAAATCATGGGCAGCGGCCAGCTATGGTTTCGCTACATGTTACAGCCACTAACGGCCTGATGATGGCCGTTAGTGCCTGAAATATGTAGCGAAACCATAGCTAGGCTCTGTCCTTGATTTTTTCTGTTTGTTGTGTTGTGACGGTCAATAAAGAGTTGTATGTTGTAACACAACAGGATGCACGAAATGAAAAATATTGTTCCTGTAATGGTATCCCAAACTCTAAGAGAATATTGTACAATACTTCCCTCCTAACTGAATCATAGGCTTTCTTGAAGTCTATGAATAGCTGATGTACTCTTATTCTATTCCCATTTTCTCCAGTTATCTGACGAACGCAAAGGAGCTGATCAGTAGTTGATCTGTTATGTCAAAACCCACACTGATGATCCCCAGTAATTTCATCTATGTATGGACTTAACATTTAAACAAGAATAATGGATAAAATGTTGTATGAAGTTGATAGCAGTGATATCCCCAGATAATTTCTAGTCTGTTTTATCACCCTTCTTGAGAACTGGTACAATAACAGACACGTTTTTTCCTTAAGCCAGATAGAATTAATTAGCTTGTGGATCTTAGAACGTAATGTTTAGCCTCCTGCTTGAATAAGTTCTGCCGGAATTTGATCACTACCTGGCGATTCATACTTTCAATTTTGCCATACCAATTTCAAGTTCAAAAGGGCTTGGACCAGGTACTAACAGCTCAACTGTATGTATTTCTATCTGCCTAACATCACTGACCCTATGTACATTCAATAACCAAGAGATGTAGTTCTTCCACCTATTCAAAATGATGTGGGAATCTGCAAGCAGATCACCATTCTCATCCTTCACTAAGTTACTTCTAGGTTGTTAGCCCCTCTCAAAGTCATTTATTCCTCTATACAGGTCTCTTAATGTGCTTCCATAGCCCATCTTTCATTCCAAGATAAATGTTTGATCATTTCAGTGAATGCAATCGTAGGCCTTTTCATTTAGGACATCATATTACCATATTTAAAAAGCAATAGAAAAATTCTTTAAGTCTCAGAATGCAATTGGCCTGTTCACCACTCTGACAAGACATAAATTCATTTCCTACAGATCATTCATAATGTCAGTACATCTGATAGCACAGCGACTTGAATGTTGTTCCTGAAGAAGAAATCATTAGAGCCTGAGTCCACTTGCCTGTATTTCTGGAATTCCACCTGGAAAGTAATGAGTCACAGAACCCCTTTACCCAGTCTCCAACAGTAAAACTGACAAACTAATACCTTCTCGAGGTTTCTTGGTGACCATGACAGTCTGTGGTATTTCTACTGACTGTACTCTGTTTCAAATGGCTTGCATCAGCAAGGGCAAAGCAGTGTGCAGCCTGTGTCCCAGGGACTGTAGTGTTAATGTCGCATTTCTGAGTACTTTCTCAGTCATATTAGCTGTCTCTTCAGAGATGTAAAAAAACATTAACTTTTCTGCAAGCTCACGCATCCAGCGGCTATGCTATCAAGGTCTCCAACATATATACTCACTTCTGTTGTCACAGGCCGCGCCATAACTCAAGCGGTTAGTCGCTGGCTTCCCATTGTGGCGGCCCAGGTTTGATCCCGGGTCTGGTCAAGTGGGATTTGTGGTGGACAAAGTGGCACTGGGGCAGGTTTTCTCCGAGTACTTCAGTTTCCCCTGCCAATCTTCATGCCACCAATTTCTCCACAATCACCCTCATCTATCATCTGGGGCTGGTACAATAGGCTTCAAACTGCTGTAGGAGACAACTGGCAGCTTGCATGTGCACCATGTTGTTAATGTCCGTCAAAGTGCGTGGTACCCACCTTGCGATAGTGCACGTGGTATTTCACGATGTCTTCTACACTACCAACACTGATGGACAGCATTGCTCGAAGTTCCTTGATAGTGATGCGCCTATTCTCATGAATAAGGGTGTCTGCACGATCAATGTTTGGCTCGGTAATGGATGTTCGTGGCTGACAATCATGAGGTTCATTCTCCACGTGCTCTCTGCCCTCTCTGAAGCACTTACACCACTCAAACAGATGGGTCCGTGAGAGACACTCTTCCCCATACTGTCGTTGGAGTCTGTGGTGAATTTCAGCGGACAGGACGTTTTCTCCATTGAGGAATTTGATCACAATGCGTTGTTCCATGCTCCACGGTACCTTCTGTTTGCTCATCACTCTCGCAACTTCCAGACAGGAATGAACAGGTTCTAACCCGAACAGGAGGGGGGGGGTGGAGGTTGTGGCTTCACTCTCTCAAGGTCGCACAGTGCGGCTTGTTTACATACAAATCAGTCCCGGTCATATTTGAACCACCTTGTGTATATATATATAGAAGGCCGTGGTTTGTCAAGAATATATGAGAAAGTAGGTAGAATACCATTGCATTGATTTTTATTCTTGCAGGGGGATGTCTGTCACTAAAGTGGTGGCTGCTCCTGCTTCATTTCTTGCACTATACATTGTTACAAAGCATACAACATTGTTTTATCATCAGTGGTCAGATCACTAATAACAGTACATGAAGTATGCTGAAGGCCAGAAATAAAAGACAAATGGGTGTACTGTGGCTTAAGCATCCCAATGAAAGCACATTGCATTATAAATGAAAAGTTGTGAGCAGAGTCTATAAGGCAGACAGTGCTGCTTGTAGAGACCATTGTCTTCTAGGAAATTATTTCATGTAGTCTGGTACATAATTAGCAATTTCAGAGGAGCCTGGTGCATCCATCTTCAGGGTAAAACAGTAAGTCTCTTTTACTCATGTTATACTTGTTTCAGAGGATGGCAAGGAGTAATATTTTGCCACCTCATAGGCTTCAGTATCTGAAATATTATTCCTCACATGGAACAAATATTTCAAGACCTTTCAAAGAATATGTAGATATTTAATTTTAAGACATTTGCATATTTTACTTTAAACCATTTTGAACACGCCTCTTGGGGACCCTACTCAGTTCTTAGCTACAAAATTTTTGGTTACACTTTCATCTACGTACAGACTCTACTCAAATTTTCTGTTGGATTTTAAAACATGGCAGCCAATATTGTGTTGTTTGACATGGGTTATTCCACATGCCAATCTGAATCACACCGAAAGTTCCTAAATAACTATCACATTGCATGGAACTGAAGAATGCCAGAAATCATACACATCATAAGCCGTGTTTTACTAACCTCATTCTTGTATAGCTAAATTATAATTAGGATATACATATTGCATGTGGTGTACCTAATTTTAAATTCAGCATTATCTGCAGCTGAACTGTATATGATCATTATTTCAACTTCAAATTGTTTTATTACAAAACTACATATAAATATTACACAAAATTTCATATAAAAACATTTATATCACCAGCTCAATTACAACACTGCATACTGTAAGTACCTGTACCATTATTTTGTAACTTGTTTTGCTGTAAGCATAAGTGATACATCATTCACTTTCTTACGCTTAATTGCCATTTTAAATTGGAGATTCAAGAGCAAATGCTATTTAATCAATTAATGTAAACCTGAAATACAAATGACATCAATTACACAGATGTATATTACACAAACAAGGTAAACAAAAGCAGAACAATAGGTATGAGAGAGTCACCAAACACAATTTTGTGTACAATTGCATTAATTGTACAGAACTTCTTTTACTATGAAATATGTTTCAGCCTGTGGGATGTTATCATAGAAAAAGTCTATGTGGAACTAAGAGCACTCTTCTCTAGTAACATCCACAACAAAAAAGATTCACAACTGTGACATGTGCCTCATTAAAACAACAAAAAACATGGATGTGATAATACATCCACCACATACAAGGACAACAAAGCAGAAAATAAGAAATGCACCAACTTACAATCCACATCATGACCCAACACTGTGAAGACAGTTCAGGAACTATGCAGAAACACAAACCAAGCAACATACCACATTAATTCAAATATAAGATGCCTTCAAATTTATGATGCATCCACTTTCTGAATGTGTTTTTTTTTCCTTGGCACTACAGCCCCAGTGGGCCTAGGCCTACCTCCATGAACTCCGTCCACTTCAGTTTTTCTAGATCTTACACATATGGTAGGACTCCTTGGGCGAGTGATCAGCTTGTCGCAAGGCCTCTACCTGTAGACAAACACAGAAAAACGCACACAAACATCCATGCCCTGAGTGGGATTCGAACCCACGATCCTGGCTTCCGAGCGAGCGAAGATAGTGCATGCCTCAGACCGCTCGGCTACCGTGACCAGCGAATGTGGGGTTTAGGGGGGAAAAAATCAGAAAAGTGCACATTTTTCAAATTTAATAAGCATCTCAATTTCTCAATGGGAAAAAATGCATAAAATATGTGTCTTACATTCAAAGTAATATGGTATATTATGTCTCCAGCTATTAAGGATAAAGAACACAAGAGACAATTATAATAATACTGATGAATAACACCTTGAACTCACATTTTAAGTGAATCCACAGTTTGAAACAAAAAGAAACATTTTTCACATATTTTAACAATTTTAAGAAACATTTTTCACATATTTTAACAATTTTAAGTTCAATAATTATCATAATGCAACAGTATCAATACAGTCAATATGGTTAATGAAATCCACGTGATAACTGTCTCATGCATATAAGTTCAAGTACTGTAAATGCAGGTAAATGTAGCAAGTGATAATTTACTTAAACAACCTGATGATGGCCAGAAAATATGTCATTATCAAGAAGTTGTATGCAATCAATGCAAATCAATGTAACTGTACCCAAACTGTGACTAACAGAACCTCTTATACCTACTAACTCAAAACACATCATGATCCTCCAATACGATATTCCTTATAAAAATGGAAAATTTGTGTGTCCAATGTCAAATTAAAATTCATATTTAGGGCCACTCTGATGCCAAGTCTACTAGCAATCTCCCCAAATTATCATCTGACACAAATACTGCAGCTTATTTGAACAGAAGTGGCCCATGATCAGTATCTCAGTTACATTGCATGATGGAGTTGACCCTTACCTGTATGTCTTAACAATTTATTATTTAAAAAAGTATATACACAGTACAAAAAATTGTCCCTGCACTTAGCTACTGCTGTAATACCACTTTTAAAAAAGAGGGTTCTTCAACAGCTATCATCGAACTTAAGGTAAAAGTAAAGTAAAAGTAAAGATATCCCTGTAACAGGCCGTGGAGGCCCATAGGGTTGTGAGAAGTTGAGGTTCCCATATTTTCTAGACAACTGCCTCATAGATGGCAGTAAGGCTGTCAGCCTTACGCACCAGTCACCCTTTACCCCCAAGAACATTCCATCTGGTACTCATTTCTGTTAGAGCCTGAGTCGACCCCAGGGCCATGGTGGGGCTGGAAGGATTAGGTAAATTTAAAAAAAAATCCAATGACCTCAATGGGATTCAATCCCGTGACCTTTCGGCTTGTAGCATAAGTAAAGGTAACCCTGTAACAGGCCGTGGAGGCCCATGGGGTTTTGAGATGTTGAGGTTCCCACATTTTCTAGACAATCGGCTCACAGATGGTGGTAAGGTTGTCAGCCCTACGCACTGGCCGCCCTTTATCCCCAAGAACGTTCCAAGAATATTCCTGGTACTCATTTCTGTTAGAGGCTGAGTCAACCCCAGGGCCATACTGCAGCTGGAAGGATCAGGTCAATTGAAAAAAATCCAAAGGATCCCGCAACCTTTTGGCTTGTAGCATAGAGCCTCAACCAACTATGCTACCGTGTACCCCCCACTGAAGTGAAGGTAAGTAATTATAAAGGTTAATTAACACCGTCCAGTATGACTAATAAAATATTATAATACTGCTAGTGTGATGGACCAGGATGAACTAAATCAAAGTGAAGTTAAGGAATTTTTGATCACTGTTCACTATCTATTTATAAGGTGCTCCCAAGATTATACAGTGCTGTTAAAATTCTTACATAAGGGTAAATAAATTCAGTCCGACTTAAAACTACTCTTGTTCCACTTCACATATTGATGAATCAGATGACATACTTTCTACACTTTCAGTGATCATATCAAACTCGTCTTGTACTTGTATTGTTGAATGAATCTGAGGGGACAGTGATGAGTAAGAGGGTGATGGAGATGGTGTGCGTGATCCTGATGAGACTGACATCACACTCATTGGCGATGCTGCTGCCACCACAGAAGATGGGCCAGGATCCAGGAAACTTAATGTTGGTGATGGTGAACCCTCAAAACTCATTGATGACGAGGACAAAGTAATTGTGGAAGGCGTACCAGGGCGTAATACTACTACGTCCGAACAGCATGCATGTGGAAGGTTTGCAGATGATGTTGATGTGCCTGAATATGTAACCACACCGGACGAAGTCTCGAGCTCTTTTGCTGATACAAATTCCTCTGCCGATTGTGATGGCTTCACTAGTGAAGGTCTAGTCCGTGACACTGGCGCAGATTTTAAATATGTACGTTCTGGACTGTATGCTGAGGACAAATTACTTCTTCCATTAGACTGGGAGAACGAGGGATCTGCTTTTGTGTCTCTAGGCTCTGGTGACAGTGTCAAATCTTCGTCTGAATACAGTGATACATCAGATGATGAAGAAGAAACACCAGGACGTTTCGTCTCTAGACCTCTTCGCCTTAAATCCTCTTCTATATCACGAAGCGTACATTTCCGCGGTACAATTTCCCTCAGAAATGAAAGCTCCTCCCTAGTCTGCACCAACTCTGACACATGCTTATATTCTAGAGATTTGGAATTATTACTTTCCTTGTAAGCTTCTTCAACCATATATTTAATAAACAATTCTGTTGCCTTTGTTACAAGATACACTGATTCTTGGGACACATTTTCAGCATCCGGTGAGCTTTTCATTATTGTTTTAACACGGGACAGCGACAGTTCGTTAGGACGCCTTTTGAAACTTTCTTCCTCCATTTTCTTTGTCGAGCAAAATACAAACCACTCTACAGGAGGGCAGATCTATTTACTTCATACGCAGTATATCATACCTAGTCACTATTTTGTCACTTCAACTTACACGCAACTGTTCTGCATTAAACTTGTTTTGAATACAGACAATGAACACCAAAAGCATCACAGTAAAATCCCCTAATAATTCCCGAAAGCGGATGGAAAATTTAATATTTCTTACCTACCATACGACACGGACCGTATTATATTACCTACAAACATAATGATATATGATATGTACACCAAAGAAGCGGGCTGAATTTAGTAAACACAACAAAGACACAACATAACTTTCGTCCGCCATACGCATGTGACGGGTATTGTAAACACTAGTATTATGTGTGATACCGCTCATATTTTTTATTTTCGGCCACGTTCATAGATACTAGAGTTCCTTCCCTGGTAAAATGCAGAGATTAATTTTATCGTGGTATGAAAAATTTTCTCTCCAGACCGCTCCAGACCGTAAAGCAAACATATCAACACCACGGAAAGTAGTAAAAAGCAGGCCTCTTTGGGCCTTGGTCACCGGTTTGTTGAATGGTATTCAAGATTTGTTGATTCGATATTAAACCGATACAGACCGCGTAATTAAATTGGAATATAGGTGTAATGAAAGGTTACTGGTTACTAATGCATGAAATATACCGAGAAGACAGGATTAAGCTCTCTGTAGCCCGTTCAAATGAGTGCGAGAGCGTGGAGAAATGTAATATAGGTAAAGAATAAATTTTGTTTGAAATAATGGTCAAAAGCGAATGCTGCTTGTGCTGATCAGCGCTGATTAATCCCACGAAGTATGTGAACGGTTAGTATTACGAATAGTTATTGTATATGTATTTTGAGGTTAAGTTTATGAATATCGTCTGTATTATTGTATGATAATAGATAAATGCAACGTATTAGTAAGTAGGGCCGCTTGTAAAATCGCTACACATTTTGTCGGCAAACAGATTCTAGAATGTGTTAAATGGAACGCATGTGGCAATCAAGTTATACCATTTCAAGACAACACAGCACGTGACGAACACCATGGTTTTCAGTTAAACTTTGTAAGCCTACAGTGTAATAAGTGAGTGATAAATATATTTTAGTTTCCCTTAACCTTTCCCTTATTCAGACCAAAATGTGTGTAATTTGGGCAATAGTTTCTTTTTATGTTTTTTCTTGGGGTGGAGTGAGACAGTCCACTTGGTAGGTCGGCCACTAATTGGCCTATTGTAGCAGCCCCGGTTGATAGATGATGAACGTGGAGCAGTAATTGAAATGAGAATTAGCAGGGGAAACCGAAGTACTTGGAGAAAACCTGCCCTAGTACCATTTTGTCCACCACAACTCCCACATCATCTAACCTGAGCTGAAACCTTGGCCACTACAGTGGGAAGCCGGCAACTAACCGCCTGAGCCATGGCACGGCCTAACTCAGGCAGTAAGTAAGAGAGAAAACTCATTTTCTGTATCAACTGAACGCTCATAAGTGGGGCTTTCATTTAGTATACCATTGGCAACATTTGATGATGCCTTGATTTTAATCTATGAAATACTGTATAGCCTGATTTATCCATTTTTTCAAAATATCTCATTGTTCTTTAATTATAATTTTGGGAAATTTCAAATTGAGACACAATATGAATGATTTTTATGAGATACATATTTTTGTTTAACTATTGGTTCCATATTCATGATTGTTAGTCACTTGGGTTGAAGATTACACTACCTCTACACAACGTTAAAAGGAAAGGCAAAAAATGAATTGGAGAGGTATATTCATTAGTTTATTAATATTAATTTTTAATTTAAATAAAAATATTGTCTCAGAATAGCTATTTACAACTTGTAAAGCATGATTTCTAACTTCTCAGTGGTGCAACAGGACTCATTTTCAGTGATAACATGTATGACCCATTGCAGTTTTGTTTATCCACATTTATATGCAGTTTTGAAGCTGGAATCCACAAAATGTCTGACAGCGGAGGATACATGAAAGATCACTTACAGCACATATGCAAGCCACCACTTCCTTTCATATTAACAAGTTACACACTGTCATGAAAACCTCAAATCTTACATGCTTCAGTTATGTTTATGAGTATATTTGTACGCTCACAAAGTGGCATTTAGTAGCTATAAGGTGTAACATATAACCTGGGAATTCTTGTGCATCTGTACATGGAGTTTCTGTCTCACAGGCACTGTGCACAGATGTTGTATATTGATACCATTAATTGGGATTTGGCCACACAACATTATAAAATTTCTCAGATCCATTTAATATATTTATGTCCTGGTTGAGTATTGTAATTGCTCTTATAGGCTGGAATGATTTACAATCAATTTTCTTCTGTTCTTTTGCAGTGATGATGTAGATCAGCACAAAAACACGATTAAACATTGTGTCTGCATTTTTAAGCTCCTCAGTATGAAACTGAGTTACTGATTAAGCTGCTGGAATTTGAAGTTAAACCTTTGGAATATGAATCAAAGAGAACACAGATTGTGTGTAAGGATTGTTTCAAGTTTATACTATGTGTGTAAGAAGCATCAAGATGTACATACACACTAAAAACAATCTTGTATGCAAGAATTCCTTCATGTGATCATGGCAGTGTTATATAGAGCTCTCTTTACATGGTTTATACTCTTGGTATTTTTGATCTTGCTTGTCCTTCGATTAGATGCTCGTACTCAGTGGAACTGGTTCATTGTGTTTGTCCCATTATGGGTTTATGACACTATTCTTCTTATTTATGTGCTGTTTAATATGATTACTGTCTGTATAAACAGCCATGACAGAATGTCTGTTGTGCGGAGAAAAGTATGCTACATTGTGGCTGTCATATTTAAAATGGCAACACAGATAATTTTATGCCTGAAATTGGAGTATCCTTCATGGAACATTTCCATTATTTTTGTTATGCTTCCTATGTGGACTTTGTTGCCAATTTTGCTTATACGTGTGTTAATTACGTTGGTAATTGAAACCCGTTATTAATAACTTGTATTTGAAAGAATGTTATTTGAGTATTTGATGAAGGGGGCTGAGAATTATTCTCACACCTTAATAAAACCTGTAAACTAATTAAATACCACCTCTGTTTATATTTTGTTAGCTTGTGCGATTATTTCTTGTAATGTCATTTGCTACAATTTCATTTTCATACAGCATGTTTGAACATGTCATTTTTATATCAAACTTAAGGTTATGATAATACAGTACCTGTAACAAGGTAACGTGCAGTTTTGTATATTCTGCTTCATATTACCAACAGTTAAATTAAAGCAAATTACTTCACATTAAAATACACATCTACTATGCATTTTCATTTTTCTTCCAGTCACCGAAGTCCTTGATTTTTGTATCAAACATGCTTCTTTTGGTAACCAGTCAGAGGTAGCTCTAGTGCAGCATGCAATATGATCTTATATTTCTGTATGGCAATGGTCTACAGGCTGGATGGCCCGTGTTCAATTACCGACAGTGAAAGCTTGTATCTCTTCTCCACAGCATCCAAAGCAACTGGGGCTCACCCACCTTCCTATAGTTGGTAAAAGGTAAAGGTAAAAGTTGTCTTTGTGCATAACAAATTAAGCACCATGCCATTAAGGCGTACATGTATGGGGAGTGGCTGTATAGATCCACATTTTCTTGACCTCAGCACTAGTTGAAGATGAGTGGTCATCTTCACACCCCTGCTGCTTTGCCCCCGGTACCCATTGGACAGGAGACTGGGTGGGCCCCAGAGCCGGTCCGGAAGATGTGGAGAAGAGAAAATTCTTGATCCTACCAGGACTCAAACTCCAACCCCTCGGTTGTCGAACCCGTAGCCAGTTGCTGACCATCTCCATCTAGTGTCAAGGTCAAGAAAAGTGGAGCTGTACCTCCACTCCCCCATTTCTCTTCATGTCATAGTGCTTCACTAATTAAGCACAGGGATAACTACATATCATAATAGAAAACCTTAAACTAGTAATGATTCTGCACAAGTAGAATTTCTTATTATTCCAACTAAAACTGATTTAGAATGGAAACAGCTTTAAGGTAAAAAGGTAAAGCTATCCCTGCAACAGGCCATGCAGGACCATAGAGTTATGAGACATTGAGGCTCCCACATTTTCTCTAGACAGTCAGCTCATAGATGGAAAGTTTAGGTAAACTGGAAAAAAATCCACCTCATTGGGACTCGAACCCATGACCTTCCGGCTTGTAGCATAGTGCTTCAACCATCTATGCAACCACAAGCTTGCAAGCAGCACAGTATGGGAATCACTGCTGTAGGGTCATTTGATATCATAATTTAAGAACTGGATACTCATAACGTATTCCTCTCAGTCACTGTGGAATCTGAAGATCCATAATTCCAAAATAAACATCTGCTTCTCATCCACCTTAATCTAGCCCATTTCACCAAACATTTTGCCTTCACTCGATTATTCACTCGACGTAACTTCTGCATGTCACCAATACCTGCCTGTATGCAGGAAACATCATGTGATGACATATACAGAAGTCATACATGCAAACAGCACAGAATGTGGAGCAATATGCAGAATGATTTAGAGTCAGAAAATGTAAACAAACAATTGTNCTAAACCCAGAAGACGACTTTCTTCATTGTCATCGCCGTGAAAACCTCAAAACTTACATAAACAATTGTCTAGTTTGCCACCTTTCAGAATTACAGCATTTCAAAATTTAGTCTTCATTTCTTCTGTAACTTTATGTCTCTTTTAACAAGAATCAGATGTGCATCTTTTGTCAGGTAATGTGACTGATTTGCTGGAACTGCACTGAGAGAACACCAGAGTCTATATTCAGATAGGAAGCAACCCAACTGAGCATATGTTTTAAATAATACACTGAAGTGTAAGTTAATTCATGCCACCTGCACATATTAGCTGTGGCAGACAATTTGCACAACAAAGGAAGTTTTGGATAATGTATGTGCTAATCCATCAACTAGCACTCACTGGGTTATATATTGCTATCTTGGAGTGCACTTTTAGTGTACACTGCATGAAGAGAAGTCTTATCCTCTTCGTGTACAACTGGTACAAGGGCGTTTTTGACTGGTGACTCAGTCTGCAGCCAGCTGCTCATGCTGGTTCCTCGCTTGCAGAATTTTCTACCCTGAAGATGGAGGTGACATGTTCCTCCGAAACATCAGTTCACACAAGATCTAAATGGGACCGCATCCCAGAATATGGTATGCTTCATCTGGTACAAGGGGAATCTTTGCCTCCAGTTCTGTTACTGACTTCTACATACAACTGTAGATGAACTAGACTTCATGTGCTGTGTATTGTGGACTGACGAGGCAACATTCTCAATGAGTGGAATAAACACTCTCAACAACCTGCATGAATGAGTACTGGAGAATCCTCATGCACCTGATGCTCTTCATTTCAACAAAGATTTAGTGCCAAAATTTGGGCTGGAATCTTAGATGATTATATAATTGGACTATACATGACAGAAAATCGTTTCAATGAAATCCATTACATGCTTTGTTGGAAAAAAAAAACTTTGCTTGGCTATATATTGTTGCTGTTTTCAGACATATATGACTTGTTATATTTTCTAACCAATTTTCATATGAACCCTTCATTTCTTTTTGTTATTGACATTCCTTAGTAATACATGTAACGTCAGAGCAACTGCACTGCCCATTTACAACTGTCAAAATAGTAAATAAACCAACTTAAACTTGATACTAAGTTCATACCAACACAACCAAAATGGTAATAATTGATTTCATTTACTGCAAATATAATGGCTTAACTTTCTTGAATTAGGTCACAGCATTTCTTTCACAAGAGATGTAGTGCTTATTTTACCCATACTCAGTTGTGTGAGCCTCATCTGTGAAAACTGGGTGTACATGAAGTTCAAGCTTCACTAGGGTTGGAAAGGCTTCAACAGCTGCATCATACACCCAGCAGTTTTACTGTGCATAACAGTAAATATATTGAAAATTAACTAAAAAGTCAACATTTTTTATTACCTTGCATATATATAAAATGCAATGGACATGAAGAGATGGCAGAACACTGAAGACACTGACTTGAAACATGATACAAATATACACGACTTGGATCAGCATAAACTATCTTACAATATACCATACACAAGAAATGTAGACTAGAACAGGAGGGAGGGATGGGATAATAATAAAAAATTAGTTTTATTGTTTGAACTAATCAGATCTTCACTTATAAAACATACAGTATTCTGTGCATTAAATGTTGCAGGTACTTCATCAAAATATCAAGTAGTATATGATTAAATCTGTATAATATATTCATGTATTAGTCACTAAGGAGAGTTAAAATGCTGAATAATCTATGAGAGCCATTTGGAACATCAAGGGACCTGAAACAGGGAGATACCTTGTCATGTATTTTATTTACCGTAGCATTAGAAAAGGTGGTCAGAGATTTGAGCATAGGAACTATATATAATGAAACAATCCAGATACTTGCATATGCAGGTGACATTGTTTTAATGGGCAGAACCAAAGGTGTGCTGAAAGAAGCAATTATAAACTTCAGTAAATCAGTGAAGGAAATTGGACTTACAATCAATCTGCAAAAAAAGCTAATACTTGGAAGTAACAAAATGGCCAACTAATTTAAGAATGCTTGAAATGGATGACCAGCAATTTGAAGGGGTGAGGGAACATAAATATCTTGGATCTACTGTAACAGAAGAAATTGAAATATTTCTATTAAAATAGAACAGATAATTTTAATGACAAGTTGAGCTAGTTATGGCCTAAAGAAACAATTAAATGGGAGACAAAATGTGATTTATATATGCTTCTTAGCCCTATGCTTACCTATGGAGGTGAAAGCTGGCCCCTAACAAGGAAGGATGAAAATATGCCATGAATCTTTGAAAGGATGTTAAGAAGAATTTCTGGCCCAATGAAGGAAAACTGTGTATGGAGATCAAGATGTAACAATGAACTTTATACATTACATAATGAGAGTGATCAGAATAGAGCAGTTGAGATGGCTGGGATAGGAGCAGAACCCTTGCAGGAAGTTCACTCTCCATAAACCAGAGGGTATTCAGTGATTAGGCAGACTGTTATCAGGTGGCTGGAACCAGATTTGAAGACAATGGGCATTAGAAATTGGAGCTGGAAGTCACAGGATCATGACCAATGGCAAGCAATCATAAAAGAGGTCAAGGTTCATCATGGACTGTAGCGCCCACAGAAGATGTGTTACTACAACAGAATATTCTGAGTTGCATACCACTGCTGATAGATGTATGCAATTCATACTCAGCATCTCCGTATCTGTCTTCCATATGGCTGATGTAGGTTTATTAGTGTATATTCTACAAAATATATGACATCAAAAGTCTCAATAAACACAAGTTCTTTCAATTAACAACATCATACGCACTTCAAGACTATAGTAGAACAACGACACACACAGAAGACATCAGCATAATTCTTATGGACAGAGGATCAAAAACCACAAAATTCTGTGCTTTGAAAAGAGCGAAGTGCTGAATGCAGACATGTTATAATGAGAAATCACTATACTTCTGCGCTAAACATGTGGGTCACAATTTTATGATGTACTTACTTCTACCAAATGCCCAAAGGTTAACATTTCCAATATGGAAGAGTGTTTATCATTCCTATGATTTATATCAAAGTAGACAACTTTGACAATATGGCATCAAAAGGGGCAACAAGCAAAACACCCACAATATTAGTATTTCAAATGTGTTAAGAAATATGTCTGCAAAATGTGCCTCTTGGATATGGCGAAATTGCAGGGATAAGCTAAGGAATTTCTATGAGAGTCTAAATACGATGTAACTCTCAACATAAAGTGGATGTTGGGGGACAGCTTCAGTACCTGTGTTATAAATAAAATTGAAATTTATCTAATTATGGAATTAGAGAAACCAGAAATATACTTGTAACTACCTATTCAAGGTAGATTTCAGCCTCTGTATCTGAACTCTGTAACAAGGAACAATACAACTAAAATATTTCATAGAAATTTGTACAAGATAGAACGTGTAATCACACTGGGGGGCATAACCAAAGTGGCGGTATCACCAAGGGCCATCAACAAAGAATATATATTTATTTAAATCCACATATAATTTGATTTACAGGAAATTAAGCTACTTAGGTAGTAACACTTCCAGACTTAAATTTGGGAGATCCCCAGTTTCAATCTCAGCCGGGACACCAACTATCCTGACAGGTTTTGTGGTTTTTCTCAATCCGTCCACATAAATACCACAATAATACCTTAAATTAGCCCATCCTTTCCAATTCCAAATCTTACTATCTGATGCTATACAGTCTGAGATACTGACAACATTGTTATATAAACAATAAATATACAAAATAAATGCACATACACATGTGTCCATGCATGTGTGTGTATTGAGTTGTGCTTGAGACTTCTAATAGGCTAATATGAACCGAAATGAAATTCATATATAAATGTTTAAACTTTTCAAGGCCAAATTATGTTTTTTGCATTCATCTCAGCAGAGCCCAAAGTGAGGTGTATTTCTTCCATAAAGATCTTCAGATGTTTCAAAATGGGATGGACAGACCTGTAAATTACAACAGGAGAAAAACTACTTAACAATGGACTGACTCCACTGGGATCAAATGTTGAAAAATTCAAGTGAAAAATAAATGTTCCAACAACCATGAAAGGGCTAATGTAAAGCTTCTATATATCAAAATTCATCAAACTCCATCAAATGGTTGGAGAAATAACCTTTATAAATGGCCACATTCATCCTCCATGTAAAGTAGTCTTCATTTTAAAGCCTACACATTCTGAATCTGTAACGAAATCACAAAATCATACAATTTCATCAAAGCAACTACAGTTTTTAATTGAGCAAGCCATTCAACAATTCACCTTCTTTTATCGTGTTGTCCAGAATGAAAACAAATGACCCCCTTCCTTTTCCTTCCGATATCCACAGTCATGCAAGGTATCTTACCCATGAAGTAAATATTAATGAGTCTGATATTTTCACACCAAAGAATATTTGATGTCCAACTTTCATCTTTGAAGCTGTGGTTTCTTAAATGTTACATTCTTTCATCCATTTCACAAAATATGATTATCACAAACTATAGAATAAATGTGGATACATATTTCATCCCATAATGCACTCATTTTCTCCAAAACTTTTCAATAAAAATATTAGATGCATAATTTGCAAGATGATCTATGAAATTAATCTGTAATGTCATGAATATACCACTGTCTATTTGACCTGTCTGTAGAAACTGAACATTTTCTCCAAAAACTAGACAATCTATGAGTTAACTGGTTAACCTTCCCTCTAAAAGTAGGCTTATGACATCACCTAGTTGTCTGTATATGTATCCCCCCCTACTGTTGCTAGGCAATGGTTTGGCAAACACATTCCCGTGGCAAAGAGTACACACACAACAATAGGATTGTTGTATGTGTCTTTTTCTATGTGGCCCATTTGGTAACAAATGAAAGTAGGTGATCAGCTATTCTTCAGAACTTCATGTTTCATTTCAAATCTTCACTGGATGTAGGTTATGCAGCATAGCATCTCATCTATCACACAGCTGTATGGCTCCTGGTGCAAATTACATGATGTACAGCTATAGCATAGACTGACTGACAACCATGCCAGATGCAATGTCTTCCACTAGCTGCACTCACCACGTGATTCATATTTTACAGGCCTACTTCTTGCTATCCCATTCAGACTCTGATGACAAAAATTTTGCATTAATGTTGTCATTCACAACATGTAAGAATCAAATGTGTGAACTATGGATGAGATATTGATCTCTCTCTTACCTCTCAGGTGACTCACCAGAGTAAAAAGGCTGAGAACTATTCTAGACACAAAATAGGATGTGGATAATTTGGATGAGTTCCTAATACAGTTGACATCTAGGGCAGTGAACACTGAGCATTTGTGTGTGTCTGTGAGTGAAAGAGAGAGGGGGGGGGCACAGTCAGTGTGGTTCCAAACAGCAGTAGCACAGGCAACGGAAATGATGGGTCCATATGCCCATCAGAGACACACTTCTCTATCGAGTCTTGCAGTCACTGTGGCTATGTCACCGCCGCTGCAATGTTTCTTGATGTCACATTGCCTCATCCCAGGCATCCTGAAATGAAGTGGAATATTAATACCCTGATCATAATCAAAATACAGCATAAGAATAATGTCTTCACTCCTTCAAATGACATGTTAATAGGTTCAGTACTAAAGACATTATTTACAGTAAATCTCCATTTCCAAAGATAAATTACAGATCAGTCCATGAGTTACAAATGACAAATAACATTTCTTGTATTTTGTGCACAGAGTGGGCATTTAAATGGCCTGTTATCATACGTGCAGTAGCCTTTTAAATCTGCACTATAGCTTTTCTGACCAGTTATTCTCTTCGAAATAAAGGGATGTAAAGAGAAACTAGAAATCAAATGACAGAAAGTATGCAAATAGCAAACAACTCTTAAACAAGGTATCTAAATGATAACGAAAGGCTACCTCCCTGCCACCTGTGAATATAGGTGAATATAAAATGCCAGGGATGTATGGAAACTGTTACAGGTGAGACATGTTATGGCCAAGTTTGGACTGCCATTACTAGTCATGAGTCGCAGCCAACATTCCCACACACACTGGGTGCATTTACTGTTAAATTTTTCTCTCAGCTTAATTAAACTGCCATGCCCTGAACACATATGGAGGAGTGTGTGCACAGTTTCACGCATTCTTAACCTCAGCATTAGATGATGGTAAGTGGCCAGCTTCATTCCATGACTGCTTGACACACAGAGAAAGATCTTCCTTGGAGTAAGCCAGGATGTCATGAAGACAAGAATAAAACCCTAATTTTATTTATAAGAGTGCATAGCATGTTTAATACCATGCTGTTTTGATTGATTAGGTGGTTGAACATAGCTTTGAATTCATTTAAGAAGGTTGAGAGCTGCTCTGATATGTTGGGTGACTGCAAGTTTGTGTGAGTAGTTTGGAATAGGGAGTCTGTTGATTTCCTGGAGTTGGGACTGGAGGTTGATTGTGGATTAAAGGAGGAAATTGGTTATTATTGTTGATGTTAATATTTGTGTTATGTGATTGAATGGAGTTTCATCTTGGTTGAATTGTGTTTTCTTCTTGCTTTTTGTAAGTTTTTATATATATTGCAACCTTTGTATAGACAGTGTCACGTAACTTCAAACAAGGCCCCACATTCCTAGTCAAATCCCGTGCACAGCTTGTGGTGGGAGGAGTTTCTTAACACTTGTTCTTCCACTGGCCATCTGTCACTTCTCACACCCTCCACCCCCTTGTCTGAAATTTTTCTTCTGCGCATTCAAGGTTACTCTTGGCTTTGTTCGAAGTTATATGACATTTGCTTTCCTCCACATAGGACACATTTTGCTGGAGTATTTGGATTCTTTTTACACAAGGTTGTGTTGTGTTCACCTCCACATTTAACACAAGTATACTGTCTTGCACAATATGTTCTTGTATGCCGTAGCACTGAAATCTTATGCACTGTACAATGCCGTTTTTCTTTCTTGGGGCTTCGACTGTTATTTTCATATTGCGTAAGTATTTAATTTCACATATGCTCTTAGTGTTTTCTTTAGGTTCTAGGTCGATGAAAAACAAAGGCAATGGTTCTTTTGTTTGACGATGCCTGACGTTTAGTATATGGTGGACATTATGACCTTGTTTTTCTAGTTCTTCTATTTCATCAATGGTTACTGAGTGATGTAGATTTCGTATTACTACTCTATAGATCTTTCTTCTCTGATCTGGTATGTATGATGTATTATTATTTTTTTTTGTTGGAGTTATCTGATTAATTTCCAATAGGATTCTGATGTGGTGACATTGATTTCTAATGTTTCATTTAAGAGTGTCTGCAGTAATACTGTTCTTCTATCACTGTAGCTAGGTGTTTTACCATTTCACATTAGTTTGTTACCCTGTATATATATTGGTGGGGGTTCAGATTCCCTTGGTTGTTTTTTTTAGTGTTTGTTGCTGTTTTATCTGTCTTGTTTGTTTGCCTTGAGAGCTCTTCATATTTGTTTTGGGTATTAAAGAGAGAGGGATTTCCTTCTGTTGCTGTTTCATTTGCCCTGTTTGTTTGCATATTCTTGTCTGAGAGCCTTGAGAGCTCTTCATATCTGTTTTGGGTATTACAGAGAAAGGGATTTCTTTCCATTGTTGTTTCTGAGGTTTGGTTAGATTGTTTCCTTTTCTTTGCCTGTTGCCAAGTGTAGGTTGTTCTTATTTCTGGCTCATCTTGGGTGCTATTTCTGTTACTGCTTGTTGATTGAGTTGTGTTAATTGTTGTTTGCTGATTTGTTGAAACTGGTTTGGTGATATTGGACCTGTGAACTGCTGTTGCATTACCTGCTGCTCTGGGTCTATATTACGACCCAGTCCTGGTGCTGTCCACATGCCAGTCGCCTCGCAGAAAGGTAGTTTATCAGTTGTTTTCTCTTCTGCAGTTTCAGTAGAAAACAAAATTAATTATTATATTCTAACACAATGCTAATTCTTCTTAGCCCACTTTCACTATTCATTGCTAGGTCATTGCTCTCATCAATGGTTACAGCTGTATAATGTTTTCTCTAGGCATATCCTGGTAACAAATCGCCAGCCTATGTATTCACGTCTTCACTCTTCGAGCTCCAGTACATGGCACACTATGTATTATTATTAGGAGATTAAGATAAACTGCAACTGTAATTCAGATGGAGGAGAGAAGGAATGTACACAAAATATTCATGGAGAAACTTCTTGGAAAGCAGTTGCTTTGAGACTGAGAAAATGGGAAGGAAGACAAATTTTAAGGTTAAAAGGTGGATAGAACTGGCTACAGTAAACTTTGGTATTAGCAGAGTTATTAGCAGAGAGAGTTAGTTAATTATACTTAATGTACACAAGTGCATTTATAAATGTCTTACCTCCTCTCATTTTGCACCTTCTGCCCCGCTGGTAGCCTTGCCCATACATTTGAAATTTCGTTGTTTAGTGAACGGAGACCTTCCTAACGAACTTGCTGACCCATCTGAGCAGCCGCCTACGTCAAGTATTGGCTCTGCAACACAGCACTAACTAATGAAACATGGACTATTTACCCCTTTTGTATACACAAAAAAATTTCACTGCCAAATCTTATGAATCTGGTGGCTGAGTAGTGGGCAGGTCACAAATTAAAATTTATCAATGAAAAAAAATACAAGTCAATACTTAGGTAAAGCTATCCCTGTAACAGGCCATGGAGGCCTATAGCACTGTGAGATGCCAAGACTCTCACATTTTCTAGACAATCAGCTCACAAATGGTGGTGAGGAGGTCAGCCTTACGCACCAGCCGCCCTTTACCCCCAGCAAGATTCCTGGTACTCATTTCTGTTAGAGGCTAAGTCGATCCCAGGGCCATAGTGCAGCTGGAAGAATTAGGTCAAATAGAAAATCCAATGACCTCATTTGTTCAAGTTCCAATGCAGTATCAAACTTTCTAACTCCACAATCATTTGCCATAAGAGACATTTATGAAATCAACAGCAAACTTAAAATATTAACCGTTCAGCGTGGTTTGACGTGTATGTTTCGTCAAGGTATTTAAATCGTCTGCGGGGGTTCGACGTCAATGTTTCATCCAGCTGCACACCTATGTTATAACGCCCATAATAATTGATGGTTTTGCTGTAGATTGTTAGATTTTTCGCTGGCCTGTTGTCAGGAGAACTATATTTAATGAGACACGAGTTTAGGAGCGCTAAGTCATCGTTACATATGCCTGTCTTGCAGCAAATTCCTGTTGCTTCTGGTAGAAGTTTCCTCATTCAAACTGTTATGAATGGCGTGTTTTCTTTCCTATGAAGTTATAAACAGCAGAGACGTGATATGTGCTGTGTTTATAATATCATATTGCCCTGAGCTGGCCACACTAACACACTCAATTGGAATTCTTAGAAGAGGGATGTCCAAATTTTATTCTTGCAAGATCGATTGATTTCGCACAGTACATGGCAGCCAGTTCTTAGAAAAACGCCACAAATTAAGGCAGAACACTGTGGTCACCCCCTGTGACGATACGGGTGTGTGTGGGGGAGGGAAAAGAACTCATTCCTTCATGTATTATCGCTCCAGTTGACTCCATTTTATCGTACTGACCTTGGTGGTCGTTTCGAGGGATGACCATAAATATTTTTTTGAGCCAGCTAAGCTCTGCTTTCGTTCACTACATACCAGCCANCTGTGTACAGTAGAATGCTTCAATGCGTACCACACTCCGCTCAAATTCTGAACCACCTGCTTCCTTTGCCGAGATACCGGGCGCTCATATTATAAGGCAAGGTTATAAAACCATCTTTTAAGATCATTTTAGTGAAAGTTTCATGCTTCAAGGCGTACGATACACTGCTCAAATTCTAAACCAACTGCTTCCATTGCCGAGATACCGGGCGCTCATATTATAAGGCAAGGTTATAAAACCACCTTTTAAGATCATTTTAGTGAAAGTTTCATGTTCCTATCTCATATAATTTAAGAACAATGATGAATAAATCATTTTTGAGCAAAATTTAAATGGACGGCTGAATATATTACCGCCGGAGAGACACGGCAGCGGAATTTAAATGACCACGCAAAAGGGTTAATACAAGAATCCTATTTGTTATAGGCTATATGATTCCAGAGAACGTAATTCCTTATTAAAAGATATAAAAAACAACTTATTATTTAGAAGAAACAGTAAAGTCCAGAGGTTTGTTATAATAAAGGGCAATGCAATTCATGCATATTTAGGCACTGACTTATAAGCAATGCATTACTAGTAAGGAGAAATCAAGAAAGCATACATCTGTAATTGATTCTACATATCATTAATAAAGCAAGGTAATAACCAAGGTAATTATAATGTCAACCATATCAGTGAAAAAGTTCTCAACAATCTTGATGGACAAATTAGATTAAGAAAGTCATCTTCTGGGTTTAGGCACTGTGTACTCTTCGTTTTGGCCGACGTTTCGGAGGAATGTAGCGCCTCCATCTTCAGAGCAGTTGAATGGCTTGGAATGCGGAGAGCAGTAGCTGTGGTGATAGGATGTGAAAGTTGCTGCTTATATACGAAGTAGGCAGGGGGGGGGTGGTTAGGGAGAACGGACCAATGGGAGCAGTGGGGAGCGATTAGGACCACTCAAGCCCCTATGCTGGTTTCGATATATGGACGACACCTTCGTCATCTGGCCCCACGGACCTGACAACCTGAAGGGTTTCCTGAACCACTTAAACAGTATCAACCCATGCATTCAGTTCACCATGGAAACCGAAAGTGAAGGCCACCTCCCCTTCCTAGACATAGATATTTACAGGAGACCCGACGGCTCTCTAGGCCATACAGTATACTGCAAACCCACACACACAAACCTGTATCTTAACGCCAAGTCCCATCATCACCCTTCCAGTAAACAGGCAGCTCTGTCCACACTGGTACATAGGGCCAGAGCTCTGTGCGATCAAGAGAGTCT